TCTAACCGTTGCAGGGATGAGTCTATTACTCGAAGGATTATCTGATCCATCCTCTGGGAGGGGCTTTCAGCATCAGTATAGAGAAAGAGAAATCACTCAGTATGTATCAGTGAAGTGACCAGCACTGGGAGTGGCTGGAAAGGTAGGTTCAACGAAGGGTATGTCCTTCACAGAGGAAGTAAAGGCTGTTGTTTTTGGGAAGTTTGCCTTGGGAAGGCCAGTGAACGCGCAGGAGAAAGGGGTGAACCCCTAGGATGTCCAGCATAAGTACTCGAGGAGTACCGAAAGGATTATCAGTTGGGAAAGAGTCGTGTTCTCAGGATTGTTGGTGAGCAGAGTGCTCTCGAGGTTCTTATCTTCAAGGATTAGTTTTGGCTGAATGACCGGGCGGAAGGTCAATAGAAGTAATCTCTCGAGGATCTGACTCAGTAGGAGATGTATTCACCATGCAAAGATGTTGTGAGCAGATTGCAGGATAGTTGGCCGTAGCGGACTTCGAGGACGAAGTCTAGTTTAAGTGGGGGAGAGTTGTAACACCCCAAATCCAACAGACCAGGAAAGGGAAGGAAACCCCTAAGGTAATGGGTCAACTCGTCGAGTCCAAGGAAGAACTCGACGAGCCGAAGCAAGTTGCCGTGTCAGGGGTTAAGTGACCGAATCGGCGAGTCGGGGGACCAACTCGGCGAGTCTGGTTTGGGTTGGGAAACCCTAAAATCGGGACTTGGTACCCTATTTAAACATCTCATTCTCATTCCATCAGCCTCATTTGTAGCCTCCACTGTCCAGAGCCTAACCCACGAAACCCTAATGTTCTCTTTGAGTGTGTGAGCCATTATTGAAGGATTTAGAGTGTTCTTGAAGTATAGAAGAAGAAGAAGGAGGTTGAAGGTTCAAGGGGAAGGTTGTAGATCCAGGAAGTTTGTTTCATCTTCATCATTTTCTATTAATCAAGTTCCTTTCTTGCCTTATGGTTTCATAGATCTCTTTATGGTCATTTTATGGGATTTTGGTCCAAGATTGTTAGCTTTTGGGACGTGGACATTCAAAGCCAAGATCTTTTCAGATCTGATGTCCTTGAGGGTGAAGAAGGCATAAAGTTGCAACCTTTATGCCATTGAAGTCCCATACAAGCCCTAAGAATGTTATGATGGTCCTTTTTAGCCCAAGAGCCCATGCATGAAAGGAAAGGTTGAAGCTTTGCATCCAGAGTACCTTTAAAGTTTTGGAGTTAGATCTGAAATATAGGGGCTTAATCCATTAAGATAGCCCAACAGACCAGGGAACTCGGCGAGTCCAGGGAAGGACTCGACGGGTCGAAGCGGAATATCCTGAGTTGATTCGCGAGTCAGAGGAATGACTCGGCGAGGTGACTCGGTTTATCATGAGTCAGAGCAGCCAGGGAACTCGACGAGACAGGGGCTGACTCGACGAGTTGGTTCGCAATTAAAGGATTCTGAGCTTTAGAACTCGACGAGTTGATGGAGCAACTCGGCGACTCCAGTCAACCTGAAGTGTTGACTTTGACCATGGACCGTTGACTTTGACCTTGTCCAGAGTTGACTTAGTATGACTTTTGAAGGGTGTTCTGGTCTAAGTGTTGTGTTGGTATTGGTAGCTCGGGGAGCAGCAGTTCGGGGAATTGTCAGATAGCAGCCAGAGGTGTTTCAGCCAGTCTTCAGCAGTGCGAGGTGAGTCTCCTCACTGTGTGCATGGGTCTACGGCCACAATGCCGGCCCATTATGTTTATGCTTATCGTTATGTGTAGTAGGAAGACCCGGGGGTTAGCCCTAGGCACTTATTGAGATATGTTCGGATTTAGATCCGCTATCAGGGTTAGCCCGACGCAGTTTATATGTTCCAGATTTCGGTCCGATACCGGGTGGTACCCGAGGCAGTAGTGTATGTGTAGTTATACTTGTTGTCTTTGTGATACTTGTATGGGATTGGTAGGGAGGTGAGTCGGGCGAGGTCCCGTATCTCATCACTAGCCGAGTATGGACGAGGTTCCGTATCTCATTAGTAGCAGAGCAGGGGCGAGGCCCGAGTTAGTAGGGAGGTGAGTGTGGGCGGGGGCCCGTATCTCACTATCAGCAGGAGCGTGGACGGGGTTCCACGATCCACCGGTAGCAGGACAGGGGCGGGGCCCAAGATAGGCGAGGCCTTAGATCAGTAGAACAGTAGAGTATGTTTAGCGTTATGATATGTGTTATGTTATATGCTTGTATGTTTTGGCATAGCAGCTGAGTGTGGGCTAGGCCCGTATCTCACAGTAGTCGAGTATGGGAGGGGCCCGTATCTCGGAGTAGATAAGTGTGGGCGGGGCCCGTATCTCAGAGATCACGGAGTGTGGGTGGGGCCCGTATCTCCTAGATGGCGGAGTGTGGGCGGGGCCCGTATCTCCATGAGTGTGGGCGAGGCCCGTATCTCCTAGATAAGGGAGTGTGGGCGGGGCCCGTATCTCCATGAGTATGGGCGGGGCCTGTATCTCCTAGTTGCATGTTATATGTGGATGGTATGTGGTAGATTGGGGAACTCACTAAGCTTCGTGCTTACGATTTTCAGTTTTGGTTTCAGGTACTTCCTGTAGCGGAGGGAAGAGCTCGGGGTGATCGCATGGCACACACACACACACACACCAAGAAGTTTAGCATGGGATGTTTACTTTGATAAAATGAAAAAGCGTTTGAAATGATACTCTGATTTAAGATAATGACTTATGATATTGGATGAATGATTTTATGATTATGGTTTAATTAACGAATTAAAAATGAAATTTTTGGGCCGTATTTTTGGGATGTTTCAAGAAATATTACCTCAAACAGGCGATCTAAGAAGAAGTGGGATAAAGAACCAACTGATATGAGCAAGAAACATTGGTTCAAGGTAAGGGGGATCTGCACCAAAGCATCGCAAATAGTGAAAATATTGTAAGAGCTAGTTGAATTTTAGAGCACAAAAACATTTGGATATGGGCCAATAAATAAGGGTATGATTGGCCCATATTTATGCATACAATAACAAAATAATTACTTTAAACACTTGAACCTAGCTCTATATATATTTATGCATGACAAGTTGGTCAATTTTGGGTTTCTAAACGCCCTACCATTTCAATAGTTCAACAATTTGATGGTTTTAGTTGTAATTCGAATAATATTGTTGGAAGTTTGATGTTTCATTGCACATTTAACTTGGAATTATATATAAAATCTGATCGCCTCAGATTCGATTTGATTTTGACGTGATTTTTAGTGTACAATTTAGGATTTGTTTTGATTTTAACTTGATTTTTGGCTGCATTTTATGAATTGATTCATATTTCAATTTATGTTTTTTTTTTCTGATTTAACACTTCATTTATGTGGACAGTGCAGGATCTTGACAAGGTTGAATTTTGAAAATGTATCAACTATGTTTATGTAGATGATTCAATGGATGATATTGGTGAGATTCCAATTCTATTGGAATGGAATCACGAATTCTAATTCTGTTGGAATGGAATCACGAATTCCAATTATGTTGGAATCACAGAAGTTGATGCTTGAAGAACGGACCATAAAAGTGAAAGTGATTCTAAGCAACATTATTCTTTAGAATGTATTAGTCGTTGTTAGATTTTGATGTTTTCTTTCCCATTTTGAAAGTTTTTTTAGTTTTATTCTTTAACAATAAATGTAATTCTTAACAATTGTTACCCGTATTCTCTAAGAAATAATGTATTTTTTGTTTTTATTCTTCAATTGATTGTTCAAGAATTTGTTATTCTACAAAAAGTTTTTAAATTCATGATCAAGAAAATAGGTTCAAGAATATTTTTATTATTTATGGTTCAAGAATATTTTTATTTTTGAATATACTCATAAACATATTCTGTCAGAATGTCCGAATTAAAAGAATTATAATTCGTAAAATCGGATTTTTAAAATTAATACAATCTATGATCCCTTAAAAAATGCAATTTTCCTTTATTATATATATATATATTATTTGACTAAATTACCCTTGTAATTAATTAAGATGATATTTTTCAATTATATTTAATTCAATAACATATATTAATCACTTTCTTAAAATAAATAAAATTGATTGGCCCATATTCATGCATACAATAACACAATAATTACTTTGAATAGAATAACCTAAGCCTATATATATATATATATATATATATATATATATATATATATATATATATATATATATATATATATATGGAAAACAAAAAACGCTAAAAAAAAACCCGAAAAATCATAAAAATGCATAAAAAAAATACTTAGAGATTACAAAACTTTTTTTTGATATTTTTTATGAAAAAATCGCAGGTTTTTAAAGAAATTCGCTGAAAAAAAAAATAAAAAATCAATATATATATATATATATATATATATATACATATATATATTTTTATAAAAAAAAAGTTTTTTTTTTCAAATTTTTTTTCAGCGAATTTCTTTAAAAACCTGCGATTTTTTCATAAAAAATATCAAAAAAAAGTTTTGTGATCTCTAAGTATTTTTTTTATGCATTTTTATGATTTTTAGGGTTTTTTTAGGGTTTTTTGTTTTCCAAATAACCCTTCCCTATATATATATATATATATATATATATATATATATATATATATATATATATATATAGATATATATATATATATATATATATATATATATATATATATATATATATATATATATATACACACACACCATTGGCCTCATATTAAAGACCTCACACAAACTGAGGTTTTCAGTTTGATTCTTTTCCACTTACTTCTAAAGTTTTTCATTTAAGTTTCAGCAAACATAATACATAATACATTTAATTAGCAAGGGTTCAATCACCTAAACGTGCATTGATTCAATGGTTAAGGTGTTATGATATCACATATTTAAAAACCCAAGGAGAGAACTAAAAGCCCAAGTTAAAGAATGGGCTTAAGCCCAGATAGCTGAGGGTGCACACTCCAATCCATGCTCCAACAACCAAACGACGCCGGACGCCCCCTTTCTTCCTGTTCTCGACTCCAAAGTCCAAACCCTCTGACAAAACAAAACCCTCGTAATGAACAAAGCCCCCAGATAGGTTTGCCCATACCATATTCGTTCGATTCATAGTCGTTGTTATATGATTTGAATCTGCTTTTTTACTCCTGATAATGTCGTCATCACTGTTTCTTCAACGTTTCGGGAGGACAAAGAGCTTAACAAAGAGGTCTACTAAGAAGTATTTGGAAGAAGCGCTTTACAGGCGGCTTCTTAAAGATGGCGGATCAGATGTTAGTGTTAGACAAAATTTGAATCAGTTTCTTAAATCCAAAAAGAAAGCTTACAAATGGGAGGTGGATCACACGCTCAAAGTCCTTCGCAGTCGCAAGCGTTACGCTTCTGCCCTCAAGGTGTTTATGCTCTCCTTTTCCCCTTTTGAATCTTGCTCTTACTATTCTGTATTCGATAGGAAATGATTTTACTTAATTAGGAGCTGTGGTCACCAATACAGGATTCTAACATATCAACTCTGGTGAATTTGCTGTGTGAATTAGAGATAGAACTAAGTTGTAGATGTACTATGAACTATCCTTTGTAAAATGCCCTACTTGCGCAATGATTCCTTACAAGGTAAAGTGTTCGGTTTTAGGATTTTAGTTTGTTCTGACCTAAGCTTTAATAGAGAATTCCAAGCTTGATAGTGTAAAATTTTATGGAGTTTGAATTCAAATACAGAAACGAGCATGGATCATATAACAACTAGACTTTCAATTTTATGAGAAATCGACTGGAATTCTTATAAGTAGCATGTAAATTGAGGAGAAATAGAGGGACTTGTTCCTTTTAGGTTCAGAATTCAGTTTTTTCTTTAAATCAGAACTCCAGAAATGTTTCGCATAGGCTATGAGTTTCACACTGTGTTACCAATTTCACCTCATTAATTCTCCTATAACATTTACAGCTATCAGAAACCATGGCAGAAAGAGGCATGAACAAGACAATCACAGATCAAGCTGTCCATCTAGACCTAGTCTCCAAAACCCGAGGAATAACAGCCGCCGAATCATATTTCATTAATCTCCCAGAACAATCAAAAAACCACTTCACATATGGCCCACTTCTAAACCACTACTGCAAACACCAAATGACAGAAAAAGCCGAATCCATGTTCCAAAAAATGAAAGAACTAAACCTAACTTTAACCTCCCTCCATTACAACAGCATCCTAACCCTATACGAAAAATCCCAACAACCCGAAAAAATCTCACAAATCATCCTCGAAATGAAGTCAACCGAAGTCAAACCCGATGTCCTAACCTACAACATCTGGATGAGGGCCGTTTCCGCCATGAACGATATCTCCGGGGTCGAAAGAGTAATTAACGAAATGTCAAGGGACGAAAACGTTTCTCCAGACTGGACAACGTATTCGAATCTAGCATCGATTTACATCGATTCTAATTTGATCAAAAAAGCCGAAAACGCCCTCAAGGAATTAGAAAAGATAAATTCCCACAAGAATCTCTCGGCTTTTCAACATTTGATTACGTTATACGGAAAGACCCGGAACCTTCTAGAAGTTTACCGCGTCTGGCGTTCGTTAAAACTCGCGTTCCCCAAAACCGCAAATATTAGTTATTTAAATATGATTACGGTTTTGGTGAAATTAAATGATTTACCAGGAGCTGAGAAATTGTTTCGGGAATGGGTTTCGGGGTGTTTGAATTATGATATTCGAATTGTGAATGTTTTAATCGGAGGTTATTTAAAAGAGAATTTATTTGAAAAAGGTGAAGAGTTAAAAGAGGTGTCACGTAGGCGAGGTGGGAAACCGAATTCGAAAACTTGGGAGTTGTTTTTGAATTATTATTTGGAAAAAGGGGAGATTGTAAAAGCGGTTGAGTGTGTTGAAAATGCGATTTCAACCGGGGAAAAGTGGGTCCCGGCGGTTACGGTTGTTGGGAAGATTATGGGACATTTTGAGGGGATTAAGGATGTTGATAGGGCGGAAGGTTTTGTTAGGGTTTTGGAGAAGGTTGATGGCGGTGGTGGTGGTGTGGAGGTGTTGGAGGGTTTGATTCGGTGTTATGCGGCGGCTGGGAGGACGAGTGCGGTTGTTAGGCGAAGGGTAAAGATGGAAAATGTGGAGTTGAGTGATGAAGGGAAGAGTTTGCTTGAAAAGATATCGGTTGCATGAGTTTTTTTTTTTTTTTTTTATTTTTTAATCGTGATTTTGTTTTTAATGAAAGATTTTTATAGCCAAAGTTTGGTGGCTTTTTGGTTGTGTTGCAGTAATAATGATGAAATTGAATGGTTTTAATTTTTTAGAGTATATTACAGATTTGTTTTGGATATGGTTAAAAAGTTGAAGTGTGTTGTTTCTTTTATATCATTGCATTTAAAAGTTGAAATTCATTTGGATTAAACATTGTGTGTTTCAACGATGGGTATATGGGTAAATTGCTGGGAATGTTATTTAGTTTTTTGGTTTCTTGCGTAATATAATGATCTGTAATTAAAGCTTTAATGAAATGAAACATTGTGACATGAAGAAGCATTTCTAGAAGATTGTGATTAAATATTTAGACTATGCGAAAAAAATATATGAACCAAGAAAGGATTGGATGAAGGAACAATTTCCAGCATATATACATACAAAGATTTTATATTAAGAGATGATTGAATGATGTGTAAAATAGATGTTTCATATATGATTTTGCTTTAGGGCTAATAATAGATAAATAGGTAAATTATATTAGATTAGGTTGTATGTAATCACACCTTTCTTTAATAATAATGGTGTATTTTGTTGTTGTGATTAAGTATTAGCCCAAAAATAAAACCCTAACCTAATCAATTCTCTATAAATATGATGAAAATATTAAATAGAAATTTAGTAAAAAATTGTTTCCTTAAAAGTGCTCATTATTTATTTTACATAAAATTCTGATACAATAAATCACAAATCCGTTGTAGTCTAGTTGGTTAGGATACTCGGCTCTCACCCGAGAGACCCGGGTTCAAGTCCCGGCAACGGAATTTTTTTTTCTTGTGTAAAAGAAAATATTCAACAATTTTTACATTACAAATTGTTAAAGTATTTCAACATGAAAAATCAACAACAAATTAATCAACTAACAAACAAACCGCTAAAAATAAAAAATATGTATATTGGATATTAATAAGAAACAAACAAAATTCATATTTTTAGGGACAATTTGGATTACTTCCAGGGCCCCCGAAAAAAATATAATTACCCCAAGTGCTACTGTACCCATTACTAACATCATAACAATTCATGTTTTCTGCATATAATTCCAAATCTGAAACTGGATGTAACATATTATTTTGATCAACCATTTGGATGTTATTAACATATGCTGCTTTCCCAAACCCTTCACTCGAGAAATGACCACTACCCATTTGAGTTGATGTGTGTGGACCTTCAGTATTAGTATTGTACACCTCTCCCCCGAATTCAATCTTAGCTGCATGTTCATGAAGGTCTGTGAACAATTCTTTAGGCCAATATCCAACTTGAATGTTTCCCACCATCAAGCACCAATTTCCGTGTCCCGGATCCTATAAAAATCAACATAAAATACAACTTATATATCACTTATAACAAATTTCAAAACATGTATATAATAATATAAATCATCCAAGTTACACTTTAAGACATGTAACTCGTAAAGTTTTTTATAGCCAACTTGATAGATTAAAGATATACCTTCCAGATTAATATTGTGATATCAAACTGGTTACTATTATACGTTGAAATTGGAGCAATACTAGCTCCAAGGCAAAACTCATGAGTCCTTTGGGCGAGCCCCGCACAAAGCAAATCATAGCATCCAGATTGATATCCATCGTTCTGTAATATTTTTGGATTCAAACTATCTACATCAATATCTAATCAATGGACACCCTTTAAAAATTATAATGTTTGATTTAGTGTATTCTTTCATAGTTCGTTGCTATCAAATTATTTTGATGAATTTAGCGTTTAGCAAAATGATTTGGAACTTCAGAACTAACCCAAATTTGCGAAACGCTAAATTCATCAAAATTAGTAACATTCGGAGCCAATACATTTAAAGTTGCTTTTGCTCCATAATATTCTCCTCCTCTTACATACTCAATTGCATGCTGGAAATACAGTTGTTAGTATATAAAATGAAACATCCATAATCTAATACAATTAACTGATGTGAGTGTACGAGTTTTTTTTTATTATTTATTTTTATAATTATTTCTTAATATGTAAAATCCTTAAAACTCAATTAATATTGTTCTTAAATTACACGACGGTCAAACAGCAATTAAAATGGTACGTGTAAGAAAATTAACCCAATTTTCTTCTTACTTTTTAATAATTTGTTTGCAAAGCATAAAAAATCGTTTAAATTTTACAAGAAAAAACAATAATAATAATAATTTTAGGTAATATTTACATAGTTGATTGTTTTGTTTAATTCTAGCTCTTTGCTAGATTGGTTTTTCATATGTTCAAAATAAAAATGACATAGTTGATTGTCATTTTTGCATTAAACACGTTAAGTTATACCATCTTTGTAAGATTGATCTCAAAAACAAGAATAGTTGAAAAAAATAAATAAATCCCAAACTGATGTATTTACAAACAATAAACATTTGCAACAGGACCGGTCCTAAGGATTCAAATGCCCAGAACGAGCTGGAAAAATGTGTCACCAGGGACGGAACATTACCATTAAAACTAAAGGGATCGACATACCGAAGGAAGCGAATACATATTATTTTTCAAAAGCTAATTTATATTTTTATTTAGTATGATGTTATTAGAAATGGAAAACAAAATCATATTTTACAACTATTCTATTTTATCCATGTTAGCAATTTCAATCAATTTGTCTTTCGCAATTGAAATAACAAATGTTCAAAGTACACTCATCCTCTAGTAAAACTAAAATAAAATTGACAATCTTAAAATTAATAAATGATCCATAATTCAGAAGGAACACATAGTCAAGTTATGCCCGTTTATTGTTAATTTATTGTTGTTTAAAAGGAAAAAAGGGAACCCAAGCAAAAAAAAAACATTTTAATTTTCCAATATACTAATAGAAGCTAAAAAGCAAAAGCTGACAAAAGAAAAAGCTTTTAGCTTCTACCTTCTACGCTTTTAGCCTTCTACTCTATACTGACATCACATTGAATATAACATTGAATAGGCGAGACAAGAGTTTTTCATATATCAATGACAAATAATAAAAACACATTCAAATAGAGAGGCAAGAGCAAAACGGGAGATGTTAGAGAGAGGGAGAGTAATGCACATACAGTGAGAGCTCTAGGCTGCAAGATCTCCGAATCTGAGATGGGCGAGATGCGTATTTGATCAGAGCGACACACTGGGGCTACGGGGGAGAAGGTTTCCGGCATTGACCAGAGCCATCTTTAAGGAGGTGACAAGAACTAGAGTACCATGGTTAGGGTTTTTAGTTTTTACATTTTAGATTTGTTTTCTCTATTATTTGTGATTTTTGTAAAGGTTTAGATAATCTAACATTTTGTGGGCTTTCTGAATCCGATGAGTTTAAATGGTGATTATGATCTGTAAAGTTTTGATTTTTAGATTTCGATTACTAATCTTTTTTATAGATTTTATCGGGTTAAAATACTCTTAAGTCTTAACAGTTTACTCTCAAAATCTGGAAGTGTCATCTTATATTTTTTTTGGGCCCCTAAAAAATCGGGCCCTGTGCAAATGTCCCTTTTGCCCCCCTTCAAAACCGGGCCTGATTTGTGAAATGGATAGTTGATTTGAAGGGCTAAATGCAAAATAATAATAATAATAATAATAATAATAACAACAACAAAAGTAGACTTGAATTTTCATATAATTTAATAAAGCTAACATCTTGTTCATCGTTTTATATAAACTAGGTGTGATACTCGTGTACTACACGAGTTTATTAAAAAAATAAAAAAGTTTAATATCAAAATGTAAATATTAACCATTTTTTTTATAAGAAAATACATTTACATAAATACAAACGATATAATGAATAAGTAAGTAATTCAATCTATACCAATAAAAAACTATTGACATATTTTAATAATGATGTTGAAAATTAATGTGTAAATATTAAATATTTTTTAAAGTAACTTTCGAAATAAATACAAACGAAGTTATGAATAAGTAGGTAATTGAATCTATACTAATAAAAAACTGTTGACATATTTTAAATAGTTGTTGTGAATCAAAATTTTTAAATACTTTTTTGAATCACAAACTAAAAATAGTGGGGTTATAATGGACTTTTCAGATTAAATTCAAAAGTAGCTATATAAATTTCCATATTGTAAATACTTCTTTGTATCTTTAAATAATATTTCATGCAATAAAGCTATAATGAAAAGATGTTATAAAATTATAAAAGTTGTAGCTATATAAAAATAATGTTAATATATCAATATATGTTTTTACATGACCTAAGTCTAAACTATAAAAATATATATTATAGATAAATAAAATACTTAGCAAAAATAGAATCTTAAAAACGAATTAGCTATAGTAAATTTAAAATCCTAGAAACCACTACTAAAATTAATTTATCTCAATTTTAACAATATTATTTTATAACATTTCGTTATTTTAATTCATGTAACAAAAAAAACATAATAAATGTTTTTTGTGTTAGAAAAACACAAACTATTTACTAATATATTTATTTTATGGAAAAAAATATCAATCATTATAGTATTGATTTACACATTTAATACAATGAATACTTTACATATGTAATAAAGTACTAATTAGTGGAATTGATTAATTTTTCATTAATAAAAAAAATGAAAATACCATATAATGACATGTGAAATTTAAATAATTTAAAAATCTCACATAGTGTCAAAAGTCTTGAGAAAATGACATGTGTCAAAAATCTCACATACAATTAACCCGGGGTTTAAATATAAAAAAACCCTTTTGTACAAGAAAAACTAAGAAAATGTTCATGTTTTACAACTACACTGATATATACACTAAAGTCCCAATATTTTCATCGATTTGACAAGAAAGTCGTAAACTTTATTTTTTTGACAGTAAAGTCCAAATTACCGGCAATTTTTGACACTTTTACCCTTTTTTCCCGGTTAGCCGGTAATTAGGATTTTTTTGTCAAAAAAATAAAGTTTAAGACTTTCTTGTCAAATCGCCAATTAGGACTTTACTGTCAAAAAAATAAAGTTTAGGACTTTCTTGTCAAATCGTTGAAAATATTTGGACTTGAGTGTATATATCATTTTTTTGTTAGAAATTGATACTCTTTAAGCATAAGAGTTATTAAAACATTCTCTAGTCAGCTAGATCATATTGAAATCCTTAACGTTTGCTTCTTGTTAAATCGTTTTTTTAATCTGAACAAACCGACATTGAAAAAAATGGAGATAATCAAGAAAGAAAGAAAGAACCAGGGTTGTGTTGGCTTTTTGCAGTCCCAAAAATGGAGAAATAAGAAACCGAAAAAAAAAACCAAAATTGCCCTTCTTTCCCTTCCCAACATTCACACCCTTTTGACTAGGCATGTGTTGTTTGTGTTTGCATAATTTTTTCCCACTTTTTAGTTCAAGATTTGGCGGCGAAGCAAGAAGAAACTTTTACAAGGGTGAAAAGACATGTAAAACTTTCTTCTTACTTCGCCGCCAAATCTTGAACTAAAAAAAGTGGGGACAGATTATACAAACATAAACAACACATACCTAGTCAAAAGGGTGTGAATGTGGAGAAGGGAAAGAACGACAATTTCGTTTTTTTCGGTTTCTTATTTCTCCATTTTTGGGACTGCAAAAAGCCAACACAACCTTAGTTCTTTCTTTCTTTCTTGATTATCTCCATTTTTTTCAATGTCGGTTTGTTGAGATTAAAAAAACGATTTAACAAGAAGCAAACGTTAAGGATTTCAATAGGATCTAGCTGACTACAGAATGTTTCAATAACTCTTATGCTTAAAGAGTATCATACCATTAAATTTCTAACAAAAAAATGATATATACACTAAAGTCCCAATATTTTCAACGATTTGACAAGAAAGTCCTAAACTTTATTTTTTTGACAGTAAAGTCCTAATTGACGATTTGACAAGAAAGTCCTAAACTTTATTTTTTTTGACAAAAAAATCCCAATTACCGGCTAATCGGGAAAAAATGGTAAAGTGTCAAAAATTGCCGGTATTTGGACTTTACTGTCAAAAAAATAAAATTTAGAACTTTCTTGTCAAATCGATGAAAATATTGGGACTTTAGTGTATATATCCCATTCTTTTAAGATATTCTTTCCAATATTATCATTGTCTTTTTTATTAATTTTTATAATTATAGACTCTCAAAGTTAAAACTGAGGTTTGGAACGCATATCAACTTTATTTTAAAGTATTTCATACCAAGTAATTACTACTATGTAATGTTGTTTTGATGTAAGAAATCAGATAGAAATGTTGTACCTCATGGCCAACGTAAATAGAATTTCTCTTGATAAGTTTTTTCCCAAATTTGGAAATAGAATTGGATCTCAAAATCTCACTTTCTGTTTGCCTTCTTATTGGAATTGTTCCTTGTGGGCGTGATTCACCTTTTGAATTCCATAACTGCTTAACTTCTGTTTCCATTCCCCCTTTCTTATTCCCATTTGGTATCTTCGGTGGATCCTATTCATTTATTTATTCAGAAACCCAATTAGAAATTGTATACATATACATATACATATACGGAAGGAAAATATAAATAGAAATTGAATACTACATATAAAGAAACAGGTTAAGTATACCAACGGCATGGTTGCTTTCAGCATAGGATGATCAAAAGTTGGTTGAAGATGAAACAAAACACAATCTAATACATCACCATCTGGGCTCTGATTCAACAACAAAAGTAAACAATATAAAAAAAATAAAAATAAAACAAACAAGTCAAGTAAAGTAATAAAATAAAATATAAGAGTCACCTTAATTGATTTCACACAACGTTTGTTGTTTTTCCCAAGAGTAGCTTTAATCGACTTCATCTTCTTTGACTCGAAGGTTTTGTTTGCATGTCTTAAATCTATTGTCGAGAAAACAGGAGAAAGCAATAAGAAAAACAAAAAGAAAGCTGAAACGGTTGAACTTATCTCACTACAAGCACCCGACTTCATTGTTGTATATGTTTATATAATGCAACACAGAATTTGTGCGTGTTTTCTTTATTTTTAGCTTCTTGTTGTGTAATTACACTACTTTTTTGCGAACTGAACAAAAACAAGTTCCAATTGCATCGATTGAAATTTAAGATATCAATTGTTGGAGAGTTTGCTTAAAAGAATACGATTTAATAGATATTAATACTACGAGCTGAGCTTTCAAATATTTGCTGTAATAAATTTTAGGGTTTAGGTCATTTTTGGTCACTTAACTTTTGGTTTTGTGCTCATTTGGTCACTGAACTCTTTTTAAGTTTTAAAAGGCCATCAAACTTTTGGCTTTGTGCTCATTGAGTCACTTAACTTTTGGTTTGGTCACATTTAGTCACCTAACTTTTAAAATTATGCTCATTTAGTCACTAAACTTTTAAAAAATTTCAAAAGTTTTGTGACTAAATGAGCACAATTTTAAAAGTTAGGTGACTAAATGTATACAAATCTAAAAGTTAAGTGACCAAACCAAAAGTTAAGTGACTAAATGAACACAAAGTCAAAATTTTAATGACCTTTTAAAACTTAAAAAGAGTTAAGTGACCAAATGAGCACAAAACCAAAAGTTAAGTGACCAAAAATAACCTAAATCCTAAATTTTATTCCAAATATGAGATTTAGAGAAAATCGAGAATTAAATGTAATTGGCCGATAAATGCAAAGTAAATGATTATTTTTTCTTTAAAAAAAGTTAAATATGTGAAATTAATCTATATATATTTATGAATTAAATTCATTTAATCCATTCTTTCTTAAAAAAAAAATATTCCATTTCCAGTTAACCTACATATGAATTTCTTTTTATTTAACCACAAAATGTATTAAACTACCTAGAAGCTAGCAAAAGAAAACGGAAAAAACAATCGGTTCATGAATGGGTTTATCATCCACACATTCCAGTCTTTTTTTTTTTTAACGATTCCTACTACAAAACCAATTAAACGAAAAAGGCAGGATTGAATCAAAAAGAAAATCTTTCCTAAACTTCTCGTTGGCAAACACCAAAGTATTTATGAACATCCATAATACCCATAAAAGCTAAACAAGTGGTACCAATATGATACGACGTTAATTACCACTCCATTGACCATCAATCCAATCAAAAAGATCCGCCAAATCTTGAAAATAAGACAACACTTCATCAAACCACAAAGCAAGCTTTTTCCAGAGCTGAACCGCCAAAGAACATAAAAGATCAACATCCTCGTGTTGAACATTGCAACACAAGCACAACACTTACTCCACATCAATCCTTCGTTTCGCCAAATTAGATCTAGTCGGCAACCTGTTAAGCACCAATCTCCAAATAAAAATATTAATTTTAATAGGAACACACTTATTCCATCTTGTAACTCCACCACCTATAAGCAACATATGATGATCCAAGTGGAATCTAAGGGATTTAACCATGAAAACATCTTCATCGCCAAACTCCCAAGACCATGAGTCTAAACGACTTATGATTTGAAACGAATTAAGAACCTCCGTCAATTGAATATATTGTGTTTGAAGGGTTCCACCACCAAGAGGTATACGCCAAGTAAAGAGCCAATTATGATTAACCTAGTAGTCACTAACCATACTATTGTCATGACCTGCCAAAGCATAGAGTCTCAGAAACCAGACTTTTAATTGAGTATCATTCCCATTGCCGATTTTCCTCTTAAAGTAATCATAAGGAAGCAACGCAACATCATGAAGGGGTTGGACAAATGGAGTTATGGACCCCTTTCATCTTTATCTAGGCTACGAACTATGGATGGCTTCATGTGATTGTGAAGGCGACATGCGAAAAAACATTTAGTCCAAAGTATTAATCTTTCTAATACTAGTCTTATCTTAACCTACTTAATGTATGTCAGTGTTATTATGTTCATCGGTTGTTTGAATCTAAAAAAGGCTTCTTAGATGCTTTCATTTGGCATTCAGATTAAATGTCATCTTTACTATAAGTAAGGTTTTCGGCATTGGAATTGGAGATATGGATGTGTCCATCATGGCTAAACTTCTTAATTTTGGTATCGATACTTTCCCTTTAATTCTCTTGAGTATCCATTGGAGCAAATACGAAGTTTTTTTAAACACTAGTTTATAACCCGTGAGAACCACGGTTATAAAATTAATTAAACTTTCATATTAAAAAATCAAAATTATTAATCAATTATTTTAAATAAATTATTACTTAAGATATATTTTTTTAGTTATATAAAATTATAATCGTTGATTTAAATAAATACGTGAAGTTATATCACCTTATAACCTGCATTAATTTAATTTAATTTTTTAATCTAATTTTATTAATTTAATATAATTAGAATGAAAAATTTTAAAATTTGAAATTTAAAATTTAAAATGAAGAATCAATTTATAATTTAATGTAATTAGAGTGAAAAATTAAAAATTTAAAATTTGAAATTGATAATTAATAGGTTGACAAGTGGCATGATATGTAACATACAATATTAATAAGGAGTTCTAATAGTTTGACACTTGACAATAAGAGAATAAACATATTCATTTATTAGAATAGGGATTAGAACCCAATAGTTGAACGCTTCAAAGCAAAACTAAATTGTTGGAAATCTATTAGGTGCATTTTGTGCATCTATTTTGCATGTCTATTTATGTAGTTTCATTGCATTTTACTTCTTAATTCTTGCATTTAGTTAACTATTTGGGCACTTGCTTGTTTTATTCAGAATGTCTGGTACTTCACTATTTTTGACTTATTTTGTATGCATTATGGAGCTTGGAGCATTGGAGGAGAGCACGGAGAGAAGATGGATCAAACATGTTGTGGGTCGAAGTTAGAACGAAGACAAAGTCACGTTTGAAGACCACTTGAAGTTTTAGCAAGAAGAATAGTTTGATTCAAAACACATGGTCAAAACACATGACCATGCTGAAAACACATGGTCATAGGGCTAAAAACGCATGTTCTGGTTGCAACTCTCATTTATTTTCGAAAAAACACATGACCATGCCAAAAACGCATGGTATGAGTCTGACCATGTGTTTCACCCATGAGCACGTGTGCAATTACATTTTTGTGCTAAAAAGGAGGAATCTGACTCATTATTGGGGAGACGGTTTCTTGACTAGAGGCAATTTTTGGAGCTTTTGAAGATACCAAATCATTGAAAAAAATTGATTTCCATTTGTAAGCATTAAACAATTCTAATTCCATATTTTTGTTGGTTGATTTGTTCTTATCCATGTGTGGCTAAGAAACCCTAATTTCCATTTATGTATTTTCATTGCATTTTACTTCCTAATTCTTGCATTTATTTAACTATTTGGGCACTTTCTTGTTTTATTCGGAATGTCTGGTACTTCACTATTTTTGACTTATTTTGTAGGAATTATGGAGCTTGGAGCATTGGAGGTGAACACAGAGCAAGGGGCATGGAGAGAAGATAGATCAGATGTGTTATGGGTCGAAGTTAGAACGAAGATGGAGTCAGGTTTGAAGACCAGTTGAAGTTTTAGCAAAAAGCACAGTTTGATACAAAACACATGACCATGCACAAAACACATGGTCATAGGGCTAAATATGCATGGTTTGGGCTAGACCGTGCGTGGATATCACAACTCTCATTTATTTTCGAAAAAACACATGGCCATGCCAATAACGCATGGTCTGAGTTTGACCATGTGTTTCACTTATGAGCAGGTGTGCAATTACTTTTTTATGCTAAACGGAGGAATATGGATCGTTATTGGGCACAGACGGTTTTGAGAGCAACTGTGGGCGATTTAGGGTGAGATTGGGAGAATTTTTGAGCTTTTGAAGATATCAAATAATTGCAAACATTTTTTTTATTTCCATTTGTAAGCATTAAACAACTCCAATTCCATCTTTTTGTTGGTTGATTTCTTCTTAGCCATGTGTTACTAAGAAACCCTAATTTCTAGTTCTTGTTCAAAACATGTTGGTTGCTTGACTTGAAACATATGACTTGATATTTGATTTATGATTCTATTCTAGTGATTATGTTCTTGTTTAAACTAGAATCCTTGAATTTGATTTATGTTTGATTGAACATTTATATGAATTGAATTCTTGTGTGGTTAATTAACTTTTAGGGCACCTAATCGTTCTATAAAGTTAATAATTGGTAACAAACAATATGTTTTCTTATTGTAGAACATATATCACATGTTTTCACACTTCCAAGCGTATGAGAAGAAATGGACATTGTTGGGAAGCTTGTACTAAATGTAATGAGGTTTTTCAATACAATCTAAGAGCGTGTTTAGGTTGAATTAGTAACTCTAGGTCTAGTCAAAGAGCGTGTTTTGGTTAAATAATTTGACAAGAGAGAGGTATTATAGCGTGTTTACATCTTTCAATACCAACTTAAAATAGCAATCATGAATTACATCAAGTCATAATCAAGTTAAATGACACCATTGAGAACTATAACTATAACAATTCCAACAAATTGTTTACAAATATGTTTAGTTTTCTGTATGTTTTCATAGTAGATTGTTATTTACATTATTTTAGATTTTGCATATAACCCCCCTCTTTTTGACTAAAGTACCTTGTGTAAAAAGATATAGACTATTGTCTCGTGTCTCTAAGGGTCGACCCTTCTTGCCTTGTACTGCTTATTAGTGCATTGTAGCAGTGTATTTGGAGTCTATTGTACCCTTATTATTTTTTGGTTTGACACACCTAACAAATTGGCGTTATTTCCAAGGACACGGTGTTACTAATTGTCTATGCAAAGATCTTTTTGTATAGGTACACCATTGCTAATCAACACGGAGAAAAAGAAGACTGCAAAGAGTTTACAGAAGCAAGACAAGCTTCGTAAGAGGCATTCGGGTTCCGAGACTTCTTTGTCATCCACCTCTTTAGTCATTAGCATTTGGGAGTACATACCCCTCTCAAGTGCAATAAAAACCGAAACATAAATCCTCTCACCCTCACCTCAACCATCATCACCTAGAGATAC